CACGCACACCCGCACACACCCACACACGCCCACACACCCACGCACCCACGCACCCACACACCCACACACCCACACACCCACGCACCCACACACCCACGCACCCACACACCCACACACCCACACACCCACACACCCACACACCCACACACCCACACACCCACACACCCACACACACACACCCACACCCACACCCACACCCACACACACACCCACACACACACAAACACACACACAAACACACACACACACACACACGCGCACACACACACACACCACACCACACACACACACACACGCACACACACACACGCACACACACACACACACACGCACACACACACACACACACACACACACACACGCACACGCACACGCACACGCACACACACGCACACACACACACACACACACCTCCATGTGTCGTCAGCGCGAAGTCGGGGGAGGGGATGGACAAGAGCGCGAGCTGCACTGCAGCGCGAGGGAAGCTTCGCACCACAAGAACGCGTAGAGACTTCAATCAAAATCCCCCCTTAAAGTTCACAAGGAGCCCCCGCTATAGGAAAATGATTCCGGACATGTGAGATGTCACGACGGCGGCCAACGCCGCGCATCCAAAACATGCGGCCCCGATGGCCCCCAACCCAAGCATGACTCCCATGCCCCCTCCCCCGCGCCCCCCCACCCCCACCCCCGCCCCTCCTGACGCCTCCTCCGCGTCGGCCATTTTGGCTGTAAGCGCGAAGCCGTGCTTCGCGCAGCGGCTGCCGTGCTTCGCGCGGCGTCGGCGCGCGATCTTCTCGCAGCGGCGGCGGCGGCGCCTGCGTCGCGGAGGCGACTGCGTCGCGGAGGCGACTGCGTCGCGGAGGCGACTGCATCGCGAGGGCGACTGCATCGCTGAGGCCTTCGCATCGCGGAGGCGACTACATCGCGAAGGACATGACATATGTCTTTCGCAAGGATTTGGCGCTCGAGCGCAGGCTGCAGCGCCCGCAGCAGCCCGACGGCCCGCCGCCCACCAAGCTTCGCCCCACCGTGGCCGATCCTGCAGCGGTGCGCGATCTCGCCCCTTTCGGGAAGGCAGGGCAGGCGGAGGTCAGTCCGTTCAGGCGCGCCAACTTGGTCGCGAAGACGGACGACGTGGCCAACTCAGAGTTTCTCTCGTCGCGCGACGAGGCCACCCTGCGGAGCGTGCAGACTTGCACGGGCCTCTACTTCAACGCCGGCATCGAGCACGGTGGCGGCCGCGCGTGGAAGAGCGCCCACAAAACGGACATCGGCGGTGAGGCCGCCCACGTGCGCATCTTCCGCAGCGAGGACGGCTGGCGCGGCAGCGACGCGACGTGGTCGACCGTTGCTGAGAGGAAGAAGTGCCAGTACGAGGCCGGCATCTCCTTCTGGAGCGACAGCGCGGGGGCCGAGTTCGAGGACGCTCCAACGACGGCATTGCACTTCCCGCGGTGGAGTTCGTCGGAGCCCGACGGCGTGCAGATCATCAGCGGCCAGGCGGCGCACGAGGCGCTGCTCCTGCGGAAGCCCGACGGCGGCGGTGGAGGCGACGCGAGCAGCTCTGGCGTCAAGAGCGCCAAGGGCAAGGGCGGTGGCGGGGGCGACGCGGACAGCTCCATGGGCGGCGGTGGAAGCGACGCGGACAGCTGGAAGGGCGGCTGGAAGGGCGGCTGGCGGGAGGCGCCGCGCGGCAAAGGCGGCCATGGCGGCCGGGTGCCGAGGCGCGCAACCTTGATCAGCTGCTACGAGAAAGCTGACTACGCAGCGTTCGAGGAGAACGCCGGGAAGTTCAAGGAGATTAGCTCGGCGCTGCGGAGGCCCCTCGGCGAGCAGTAGGGCTCTCATAGCGGTTCAGCGTTTGACTGCCAAGACTTGGTAGTCAAGCCGCGGCGCCTTGCGTTTGACTACCGAAACTTGGTAGTCAAACGCAGGGTCGTCGCCGTTTGACTACCGAGGCTTGGTGGTCAAACGGCGACGCCTTGCGTTTGACTGCCGAAACTTGGCAGTCAAACGCAGGGCCGTCGCCGTTTGACTACCGAGACATGGTAGTCAAACGCAGGGCCGCCTTCAGAAGGTCCGCGCTCCGCGGCGGCGCCGCGGGGCCTGTCGGGCTCGTTGGGGCGCCTCCAGGGACCGATCAGATCAGAGTCGGCATTCATCTCAGGGGGTGGCGTTCAAGCCCTGGCCCCGCCCCTGTTCGAACACCCATCGGCCTCCAAGGAGGCCGTTGCCCAAGGGGCAGGGGGGTCACGGGGGGGGGCGGCGAGGGTGACAAGGGCGGGGGGGGGGAGGGGGAATGGGGATGACGAGAGGGAGAAGGAGGATTGGCATGCCCCCCTGTCGGCCCAATCGGGCCTCCTCCACCCGCCCACTCACCCGATCTGATAGTCTCTGGAGGCGACCCCTTCACTTATAGACAGGCACTTCTTTGTCATGAAGCGCCGAGCCACATGGAAATGGCTGGTCATGCTTCGCCCAGGGATTAAAAGTTGACAAGTTTTGCAAGAATGCGTTCCTGAAAAATCGCGTGGTGACTCGGCGCGGGCACGCTCAATCAGAGCATCTTGCCCTGCGCATGGCAACAGCGCCAGCGCGGGGCCGCGGCCCGTGCGCCGTCGGAGTACATGGCGCGGGCGC